ATAACCTAATATGTTTCTATATTTCCATTCATGCACAATACTTGCACATATAGCTTTTTATACCAGAATGTTTGCTTTGGAACATATAGTTAGCTAAGAAAAGAAAAGCCAAATTAGGCAACTACATAATAATTGTTTATTTTTGCATTATTTTGTTATAAAATAGAATTATAACTCAAGTGTCTTTTTTTGCACCTCCTGAAAATTTTTACATGTACAAGAAGTATAATATATCCTACAATGTGTGTTAGAATCCAGACTTGCAAGATTCAGATTCCAAAAGCTAATATAAGATGGTCAATTTGTCAGCAGGGAGGCATCACTATTTCGACATTAATTGATAAAACTTTGCTAGCATTAATTTACAGCAGTTTACAGATCCTGCATTCAATTATCATGGCCTCCAACTTCTTCCATAAGCAGGTCAAACTGGATGGTTGGCGGCAAATGAACCAGAAGGTGGCCACCAATTTCTCCCAAAAGTATATTTGCAAGAACCATTTTGATCATCCAATCTACCAGAAACATGAGGCTAGGTTTCTTGGTGAACAATACATCCAGGCAGAGGCATTCCTTGGTTCACATATGAAGAAAGGTCAAGATTACTCAAATTATCAGTTCTACTCTTAGAAGCAGATTCTGAATGCGTACCAGGTACAACAGTATCATCAACCATCTGTAAACCCAACCATAATTTTTTTTAGCAACCATTCTGTAAACAACTTAAGCCCACTAACCCAACGCAAATATCCACTCCACTCCAACCCAACAGCCACCTCCCTGCCTCCTTGCACATATCAACTCGCTGTTTAGTGAATTAAAACTAATAGGTGATATAATAAATTGATATTGAAAATCATTCTATGTTTATATGGCAAACTAGAGATTGATAAAAACTCGCACATTTATATTAAAAATATTTTTAAAAGAAAGTTTGCACCATTTATGTTTCAATCATTTCTTACGCTTGAAATCCCTTTTTCTCTTTTAACTAGTAAAGGCAAATGCATGCTACATATTTAGAGTTCGAATTTTAAATTTGGTCATAGGTTAGGGATAATTTCACAAACCTCCCTTGAGGTTTATGACAATTTCACTCGGCTCCCCTCAAGTTTTATAAATTACACTAACCTCTCTTGTCACAATAATATGACTATAATGACCTTCACTTAATAAATAATTCATAGTATAATGAAATGAGATTTAAAAAAAAAAAATTAACCTTTTCGGTTATTCTATTTACAAGTTATAGCTAACGGCGATTCTCTCGCTTAGTATCATTCTGTTTTCATCCATCAGCCCTTTCTTCTTATAATTCGCTCTCAAATTATCACCAATCATTGCCTATAATTGTAGCCAATCATACCATAAGTGATCCCTCAAACTCTACTATATGTTTCTATTCCTCTTTTCTTCTCTTTAAAAATGCCAAATCACAAGTTTAGTTGAGAGATTAGGGGTCTGTTTGTTTGGAAGGAAAATATTTTCTAGAAAATGTTTTCCTGATTTTCTATTGTTTGGTTGGGTTGTCGCTTTGGGAAAATTTTTTCCTGCCTGAAAATATTTTACATCAGATGGTGCAAAATGACTTCCCATATTAATGAACTGAAGTCATTTTCCATGTCCGCCTCGTAAGTCGAAGAATATCAAGCTCCCCCACCAGCCTTAAGATTCAGAACAAAACCCACCGCTTGTGCAATAGCTCACTAAAGATTTGTAGTCTCCATCTCCTCCCAAACACTGGAAAAAACATAGAGAAGATAAGTATTTTCCTCGATAAAATTTTTCATGGAAGACATTTTCCGTTGAAAATATTTTACATTGAATCAAACGGACCCTAGATTTGATTATTGAAGTAAAATCCAATTTCATGGTAAAATTAGAAGGAAATGAAGAGACACACAATAATAATGGAACAAATAATGCAATCTTTGGCCAAAAGAGGAAGAGGGATTGAAATTGATAAATTTGCTCATTTGTCTATCATCCATCCAAAATACTTTTTAAGATGTCAATAAGTACACTTATGTTTCTTTTTATGCTTGACAATTGTTGGTTGTGGTTTCGTTATGGAGATAGAGTTTCTTCTCTGTATTTAAAATGTTAACATGTTTGGAGATTTAATAGTATGCTAAATTATTTTGTTTTGAGAAGGTGTGGACATTGGTTTGAAGTTTAGGGTGTGATTAATTGGAAATAGAATTTTGATTTTTGGCAAAATGAATTTCTTGAAAATCTCTATAGTCATAATGATGACTTTCCTTTTCTTAAACTTGATTAATCCCATCCATACGTAAACCTTCCCTAAGGATTTTCTTCAAGACCACAATGTGGCTCATGTAGTAGGAGTTAAACCACTTATATGGAACCAAACCATGGCATTCTATGTTGAAGATTATGCAAACATAAGGGCAGTTGATTGTGAGTTTGACCATTTCATGTAACCATATGGTGAGAATATTTTTGAAGAATGGAACGAATCTTCAAAATTGAATGAAGCAATTTTATGACTATGATAATGGAATTACTTGGGTTTAGAATTTGGAATTAGACTATTTGTTAGGTTAGTTTGTTAGTACATTGGGTTTGGTTGAAATATGAAAGAAAGCAATTGGCAAAATAAAATTAGTTTTATTTTTGTACAGAAGGGGTAGTTTAGAATTTTTGAGAAAAAATATAACCTTTTGGGCCTATATTGTTACATAAATAGTAAAAGCAAGGGAGGTAGGTGTAATTTAATAAACTTGAGGGAGGTCTCTGCAATTGAAAATCTCAAGGGAGGTTTCTAAAATTATCCCTATAGGTTATGCAAGCTAGAATTTATGCAAATTTTTTTTTTAAATACAACTTTGGATTGACCTGATCCTATCATTTTTGGCATGAGTTTTGTATGTTGGAATCCTTAAACCAATATTTTTCTTTAAATCTAGACTTGGAATTGCAAATTGTTAGATTGGTAAGTGTTGCTCTGCCTAGAATTCACCTACATAAAGAAAGACAAGTAGTAAATTCTCCGATGATATAAATATTGTAGGTAGGTAGAAACATCGATAGAAAAATTGGATATGGCAGAGATATCCACATGAAAGTCAATCATGGTGCATAAACTACTTGTTCATTAATTAGTACAATTTTTTTTTCATTAGCACACCAAATGGCAGTATGTAGCAGCAATCTAAGTGCTTGGCCAAGTTTCCGTTTTGCAAAGCACGATCTTATTCTGTTTAGGTAGAAACATGGATAGAAAAATTGGATGATGGCGGAGTCGCAGAGATATCCACATGGAATTCATTTATGGTGCTTAAGCTACTCCTCCCATCTGCGCAGGTTTGGTCACGCAGCGAAAGTTCTGGTGGACTAACAAGCTGATTCACAGCAATGGTGTGCAAAGGCCTAGTTGGTTCTCGCCTGCTCTCTTCAAATCGGTTCACCACTTGCTGCATTGTTGGTCGACATTTCGGGTTTGCGTTGACACAATCCAGGGCTAACGCAGTCGCGACAACCACATTACGAACGACCAAAGGATTAGTCGGAGGGGGCAGACGGGCATCTAGAAGATCCTTCAGTATTATTGGTTCATTGGGTTGTGATGATATGCAAGAAAGGAATTCTCGTGGATGCTCTCCAAACAGCGTTTCCAGCACCACAACGCCAAAGCTATACACATCGGACTTTTCAGTGACCACCACGGTATAGGCTAGCTCTGCATTGACAAGTAAGTATATATTTCGATACAAATAAAGTTAATCTCAACTGGGACAACTCTAGACTTACTATTCCAAAAAAAAATAATAATCGTTTCAGTTGGAAGAATTTTTTTTCTTTTCTGTCCTTGAAAGTTAAGCCTAATATGTGCATCAAGAAAATATGAAAAACAAGGTGAAAAGCAGAAAGGGATCTGGGATAGCAAGGTAACCTACCTGGTGCCATGTAGCCAAAGGTGCCTGCAATGACTGTTTGATTTGATGAATCAAGTTCCAAAATCCTCGCAGTTCCAAAGTCAGAAAGAGTTGCTTCGAGCTGTGAATTCAAAAGAATGTTGTTGCTTGATACATCCCTGTGAAAGATTGGCGGATCACAATCGTAATGCAAGTAGGACAATGCACTGGCAATGCCCTTGATCAAATTCACTCTTTTAATCCAGTCCAGCTCCACAGCTTCAGTTTCATCTCTCAAGATACAAAACAAGCTTCCTCTGTCCATATACTCATAAATCAGAAACATGCATCGCTTGTGCAGACAGAATCCGAAGAGCTTTACAATGTTCCTGTGCCTGATTTTAGATAGCATGTCGGCTTCGTTCCTAAAGCTCTTGTCGAAATTTGGATTCTCGCCTTCCAATAGGTGAAGCTTTTTCAAAGCCACTACTTTCCCACTTGGCAACCGTGCTCTGTATACAGAGCCATAACCCCCTGTCCCGATGCAATAACTGACATCAAAATCATTGGTTGCTTTAATTATGTCTTCATAAGCCATATTTCCATCATAGTTCCATATTCTGAAAATGTCTCCATGTTTATTGTCCATGAGCTCGACTCCCACTTTCTTGACTTTGGTTCTGCGGAAGATATAAAGCATTAATCCGCCAATTAATGAGAACACCACCAAGGACACGCCAAGACCTATGATGTAGTATGGGGGGTGATGTCTGTGATTTTTCATAACAGGAGGAGATGCTCCACAAAGAGTGGAAGTGTAACGCAAGTCTGGATTGCCGACAAATCTTTCTGAACCAAACTGAATGACAAGCTCACACGGGAGTTCACCTTCCAAAGCATTATAGGACAGGTCGACGTGCCCCAGTCGCATAAGAGACGAGGGGACGGTGCCGGAGAGAATATTGTGGGAAAGATCCAAAGTCGAAAGGAGCCACTCGGATTGGGTTGGTATCTTTCCGCTAATGCGGTTACGACTTAAGTCCACTGTCCGTAACAAAGGGAGATCTAGAATTTTCCATGGAAAAATATCACTCAAAGAGTTGTTTTGTAGATATAAACGCTTCAATCTAGACCAGGTGTCCAAATTTATTGTAAATGGAATTGGACCTCTAAGTTGGTTTGAGGAAAGATCTAAACATTTTAGAGAAGGTATAACGGAAAGTTGAAGAGGTATGGGACCACTTATTTGGTTAGAAGAGAGGTCCAAATCAATCAGAGTAGTCAGATTGCCAAGGGTCGGAGGGATTTGACCAGTCAGCCGGTTGGACTCGAGGAAAAGATGTTTCAAATTTTTCAAATTTCCTATTTCAGAGGGAATGGAACCATGAATTTGATTCTTAGCACCTGAAAGAGATACTAGTTTGGTTAGGCGGCAAAGAGCTGAAGTAAAGGCACCTGAAAGATTAAGGCCACTGAAGTCTAATTCAACTAAACTCTTCAAATTTCCTATTTCTTTTGAGAGAAATCCTTCCATTGCGGGATTCGAATGAATGTCTAGTTGGGAAAGATTTGTCAAATTAAAAAGAGACGAAGGAATTGTCCCACTGAAGTGGTTATTGCTGAGGTCAAGGGAACGTATATTAGACAACTGGCCAAGTGTTGGAGGGATGCTGCCAGAAAATCCACTGTAACTCAAGTCTAATTCAAGTAAAATCTTCAAATTTCCTATTTCTTCTGGGAGAAGTCCTCTCATTGCAGGATTCCTGCCAATGTATAGCCGGGAAAGCTTTGTCAAATTAAAAAGTGTTGGAGGAATTATCCCACTAAAGTGGTTCATATTGAGGTTCAGGAAATCTAGATTGGACAATTGGCCAAGGATGGATGGGATGGGACCAAAAAAAGAATTGTTGTTCAAGTCTAGAGTAATCAAATTTGTCAAGTTTGCGATGGAGGAGGGAATAAAGCCTTCGATAAAATTATTCGACAAATTGAGATAGGCGAGTTTGAAAAGTGTACCTATTTGATGTGGGATGTCTTCCTCAAGTCCATTGCCATTGAGATCGAGAGAGGCTAATTTGGACAAGTGGCCAAGAGTTGGAGGGATTGGACCAAAAAACAAATTTTGGCTCAAGTCTAGAGTGATCAAGTTTGTCAAGTTTCCGATCCCCGGAGGAATTAAGCTTTCAATCGAATTCCAAGAAATATCGAGATGTGCTAGTTGCGTAAGGTTTACTAGAGAAGAAGGAAGCTCACCTCGAAAATAGTTTGGAGAGTTTAAAGACAAATTGAAATAGACGAGTTTGGAGAGTGCACCTATTTGATGTGGGATGGCTCCGTGAAGTTCGTTGCGACTGAGATCTAGTCTAACCAGGTTCGGAAAAGAAGAGAAGCTGAAATTTGTCAAGTCATCTTGAATTCCGTAGCCCGGAAGTAGTATTTCGGTAACACTACCAGCATCGTTGCAAATGATACCAGGCCACTGGCAGTAGGCAGAAATGTTTGTTGCAGCAGTACTGCCTCGCCACCAGCCGCTCTTGAGCAGTGCCTCAGCTTCCAATAAATTCACAGCAGACTCCTTTGCTGCTATTGCAACTGGTGCAATAGCCAGTATCATGAGAAGAACAACTCCGCTGCATACAACATCCATCGATGCTATAGTACTATGAAAGACCGTAATTAAGATGAGATAGATGAAAAGTAAGCGCCCGCCGCCCGCCCTGATTAAGTAGTCTGGATTGAAAGACTCGCACTTAAAATGGAGTCACGGCAGTAGTGTCTTTCCAATCTGTATCTTTCACACGGATTGTTAAAAGCAATATGTGATACACGCATTTTAATTTGGAAGACTCGCAATTAATGCAGTGCAGTCAGCAGCATTTGTGGTCCTGAGTTGATTCCACTTTTGAGAAAAAAACAGAGTTAGATTTGGTAACCTTTGCCAAAAGCGGTTCAATCGGAAAGAAATTATTCACAACATTTTTTTTTTTTTTTTTTTTAAATTTTAAAAACACACTCCATCATCTTCACATGGTTGTCGAATCTAATTATTGCTCTTTGTGCTAAAGAGTAAATTATAAATTCTAAGGACAGATTTCTAAAAAAAAATCAAATTGTATCTAATTGTATCTCAGAAAGGGAGCAAATTAGTAATATTTCGGTCTTAAAAGTACATTTTGATGCCAGTAATTCAATACCGGTATGCAACCCTTTTTTTTTTAATCTCTTTTGCCTTCTATGGGCAATCAAATTCATGACATATCTTTGTTCATGGCATTTGCGTACATGTGAACACTAATTAAGACATATGAGTTTAAACTGTAATGATTTAGCATACCTAAATAGATCAGGCAACAAGTGTACAGTTGTAACGTGTTCTTTCTGGCCTTGATTTGCTTTCACATTTGAGAGTCAAGTTCACTGCAATTGTTGTGCAAAATTTCTTAGAAGACTTTACTGCGGGGCTCAAACACGTGGAAGACTTTTTTATAAAGGATGACTCTATTAAGGATTTTTAATGAATGGCGAAACCCGTTAAAACATTTAAATCACATTTACAATATCAATACACCGTCACTTTTTCGAAATAGTTACACTTTTTCCAAAATATTAACAGCTGACACTCTTTTAATCAATAACGCATGTCCTGGGACACTCGATAGCCAACCTGATAAATGAAATACTCTTGTATGGTTCGACTTTTATTTAAACTAGTTCTTTACCCGCTTTTTTAACGGGACTGCATCTATTGTGTTGAAAGACTTTTTAATAATATTGTGGAACAAAACATAATTATATGCTAAGAATTGTAAAATTGACACAATTGGAATGCATACATTTGAGTATACATGTGTTGCTTTTTGGTATGAATAACTAATTTAAAAGTTAATTGCATGAAATTATGGAATTATATTTAGGATGTAATGCACCGATTATAATCAAAACCACGCCACTCAAATTAAGAAAATTAATTGAAAACTTACCCAAAGTTTTGTTTCGAGATGAGAGGGGGGAAAATTAAGAGTGATCTTAAATTTTTTTTTTGAGATGATAAAAGAGAAAAATTTAAGAGTGATCTTACAGTTTTATTCTGAAATGAAAAAAAAAAAGAAAAAATATTAACATTGAACTTATAGTTTCATTTTGAGATAAAAAAAGGAAAAAAATTAAGAGTTACTGCCTCTATCCAAATTGTCGCATTTCAAGATTCTAACTTTTAAAATTAGTAGCTTGATGATGATGTTAGTGAATTTATTTTCAAAATAGCCCATAAAAATTCAAATTTCAAATTTAAATTTAATATGAAATGTAGTAAATGGTGGGAATAACATTGAAAAAAAAAGATCATAAGTAACTTTAATTTTGGTAAGATTACAAACATTTTAGAACATCTCAAAATAGAAAGTATAACACTTTTAATGGGACGAAGGGAGTATATTGAATATTAAAAAGGAAAATTCTGATGTTAAAAAGAAACATAAATATAATTTACTTACAAAACATATTATTTGCACTCATATTTTTGTCGATCACACTCTCACTATCATTTTAATCATATAATTTTTATTTATTAGATTATAAGATAAAACAAATAGTGGGAGTGCTAATAGCAAAAAATGGAGTGCAGATAACATTCTTCTGTACTTTATAGGGATAAAAGAAAAGTAATTATTTGAGTTTGTTAAGAAAAATGATGAAACATACCATAATTATACCTGTCAATTCATATATCATATATATTCAGCTATTCAATATCATCAGTATCATGTGATATACATAGTTATATGATGTTAAAAAAGTAGATGGTTAAAAGGTATAAATATTTAACTCTGGGTCAATTAATTGAGAAAATTAATTAAGAGAGATTCAGGGTTGATTAATAAGAAAATTGGAGAACACTTGACTTGACCATCAATCAAAAACTTCCTTGTGAAATATGCAAGACATATATGCTATAGATAACAAAAGACAAATGATGAAATAATTTTAGGAAATCTATTAAATAACATTATTATTATTAGAATAAGAATTATTAGAAGAAAAAAGAATTATTAGATAGGAAGGTAAAGAGAGAAAATAGATACTATTACGTCAACATTGACGTGGCATAATTTGTCCAAATTAATGATGATGAATGATCAAACCAATAATAAAAATAGAAAATGTACTTGAAGAGGATTAAAAAGAGAAAAGATATGAGTTGATTAACAAAAAAAAAATAAAGAAGGTACAAACATACAAACTTATATACTGCAAGTAATTAATAGATTGGTTGCGAAGAAAAAAAGACAAAAATAAAATCCACAAAAAAATTAAAAAAAATTTATTTATAATTTGTTTTGCCACATGGTAAAAAGACGAAAATCCACTCGGCAAAATATGAGAATATATATATATATATATATATATATATATATATTGGTGGAGCCATAGCCAGCGCAATTGCACCTTCTCAATTTTTTAGAAATTTTAGAATAGTCCATAAAAAGGTTCTTCTATTGTTGCCTCACTTTTGCACCCCTTGAAATTTGGTAATATTTCCTCTAACCCCACAATTGCCTCGCAAAAGTTTTAAAATTTTATACAGTTATCACCATCATTTCTCCGATGCAACATTAAAATAAAATTTATTACACAATGCTATTTTTATTTTCTTTCTAACAAATCTTATGCACGTAACATTAAACTTTTCTTAACCTTATGAATTACAAGTTAACTAAACATTCATTTGATAGTTAAATTGTGTATACATTATTTGCCTATTGCGTATATGAAAATATACATCTAGCACTCAATGCATAATTTATTATTGTGCACTTTTATACAATTTTTATGTATAGTTTTAATCATTATGTTAGTTTATACCATTAGATGACCTTATAATTATTGCAATTAAAAACAAATTGTAGATAATTCTTCTTTAAATTGTTTCAACATCGAATAAAGTGGTCTACTCATTGTAGACATTTAGTTATTCTGAAAATCTATAACACATTGTAAACTTATGCTAGTATAATTGTGAGAGATTCTACAATCTCTTTTGGTATCATGCCTTCAAGTTAAACTCATGGTTAAACTACAAACCATGATCAAAACCCTACCGATACTACAAGCCTTACAATACATCAGGAACATCAGGCCGCCCGTAGGACTAAACATTTAAAGTTCGCACATCAAAAATAAATGTAAGACCATAAGGTAGATGAAATGTATAAGCACTCCAAGTACAGTAGTCCGGATTGAAAGACTCTGCATTTAAAATCAGTGACAGTGATATGGATAGTTAAAGCACGCTGTTTGATTTGGAAGTCACGCAATGTAGTGTTTGTGTCTTGATTAATTGATTACTTTTAAGAGTCAATGTCCATACATCTTCAAACTCGAAGTGTAGACAGCCCAACCCATGTAGACAGCCCAACCCGGGTAACTGGTGTGGTGTGTTACTCCTCTTTTGAATATGGCCATCAAGGATCGAGTCCGGGGTCAACGTGTTCGAGAGGAATGAGTCTCTCCTCTTGGATCACAGGGGATTAGTTAGGCCCAAGGTCCGGATATCCCTCTGTCCAAAAAAAAAACTCGTAGTTTAGACAATCTGTGATGTTGCTTTTAGCTATATTGACTGTCCTTATAAATCAAAAGAATTGTAGACAATCGTCAATGAGAGCAAAAAGGGGGGGGAAAAAAGAACTCTCCCATTATTACTTTGAGCTAATATAAGAGTTAGAATAGGACTTTTAACAAGCGCAAATACTAAATTCAACTTCAACTAAATTGGTAAATTTTGCCCAAATTCAACAATAGTTGTACAGTTAAAAAGGAAATACTCGCAACCTTTTTTTTTAAATAAATTTAAAACATACTCCATGATCCTCACATGGTAATCAAATCTAGTCATTGCACTCTTTATGCTAAAGAGTAAATGCTAAATTCTAAGGGCAGATTTCTAAAAACAAAAAAAATTCATAAATTGTAGATTACAAGACTTAGCTTGTCAATTTAGGAGATTAAAAAGAAAGAAGAAAGAACGACTTGAATATTCAGGGATAGTCTGGATTTAAAGACTACAACACATGGAGAGTTAAACAAGCACCATGACATACGCGTTTTATTGTGTATGACTTTGAATTGATTTGATTCCGCTTTCGAAAGCCAAAGATCCGTCTTCTGCTAGAATTGTTGTGTGGAATTTCTTAGAAATGCCATTAACTCAAAACTTGAAGACTCGCAACGCCGCTTTTTTGGTCTGTCTTCAAACTTGAAGTGTACATTGTGTGGAATTTCTTAAAAATGTCATTAACTAGACTGACTGTTTTTATAAAGCAAAAGAATTATAGACAATCTTCAACAAGAGGGGAAAAAAATACAAGAACTCTTCCATCGTATTTGGATAGAGAATTATTTGAGATATTATTTGAAATAATTACTGTAACATTTTTTGTAATGTGATATATATGAGATTAAAAGATAATTGAGAATATAAAAAATGAGTTGAAAAATGTGAAAAATGTGTTTATGATGCAAGCGAAATATTATTTAGAATAACTTAGCTATCCAAACACGTCCATTAATATAACTTTGAACTATCCAAAAAGTAGCTATCCAAAAAGTATTACTTTGAACTAATATAAGAGTTAGAATAGGGCTTTTAACAAGTA